TCCTCGAGTGATCTGCAGTATACCTGCAGGGAACAATAATATTTGCTTCATAAAAGAGTCTGTGTAGGAATACTTTGCTGAGCATTTACACTCAAAGCCCTGGCACAACTTTACAACTAACTTAGCAGCAGTAAATAAATGATATTGGGCAGTCTCCAGCCCTCCATATGATTCAGGATTCTCATGATCACAAAACTATATCTGGTCTGTCACTGGGGAAACCCCAGCACTGAGATCAGACACAATGGAATGATCCTTGTATGTCAGTCAGCCATGTGTGCATGTGCACGGACGGTGCCCACAGTTTCAAGGACATCCTAATTATTGCATATCACTTTACACAGACAGCTGCAAGAGATACAGGCTCACCAGCACCCAGCGTTAAATCTGAAGTAGGCTCGCCGGTGGTGTATTAGTTCCAGTACTTTTTATCATCAGCCATTCCTGTAATGCTCAGCATCATCTACTGTTACAGCCGGCCGCTACTGCTGTGCACAGTGGATAAACGCAATCAAGCCTCGGTAATAAGAAGCACAACAGCAGCAGGTGGAAATGTGCCTCTCGCAGCACTGCCCACCTTCTAATATTTTTCAGCCGTTGCTGTGACCTCTGAAGCCACCTTCACAAGCACCGCTTTGATTATTGATGTTGAAGGTGAGGGCCTGACTTTGGACCTGGACACATACACAGGTGCTTTTTTCTTAGCCTAGAGAAAGAAAGAAAAGCTCTGGCTAATTTATAAGACATGCTCTCACGCTCTCTGTGAGAGTGTTACTTGTTGTAGTATATCAGGTTCTGCCGATCACAGCAAACAAAGGAGAGCAATGTGTCAAAGCCAGAAGAGCGTTTGTTTCATGAAAACATCTGAGCTACAACTATGTGACTGTTTAGAGACTGTAAAATCCTACCCACCCTACAGGAGCTCGCTATTCTAGGTGTTAACTTTATAGCAGTGTTACTTTAGTTAATGATTAAAACAGTTTTCATAAAATGATTGTTAAATGTTTGTTTCCGGTACTCCTCTTAGAAAACTTTGACGCATGAAACGAACAGACAGGTTCTCTTAACAAAATCTACCTTTTCCGTAGTTGAAGTGTAGTTTGATAGTCTTGCCCTGGTTGATGTGCAGGTAAGTGAACCAAACCGCCGAGGTGAGCAGTACCAGCAGCAGCAGGAGCTTGAACTGCTTCCGGATCTTCTTCACGGGGAAGCGCAGCATCCTCGCTGAAACATCCTCCGGTAGGCGCCCGGTAGATGGTTAAAACGAGTCCAGACGGCTGCTGACTGTTCGGGCGCTGCTGTGTTGTGTTTCTGGGCTGTTCGCGGCTCTGCTGAAGGACTACTTCTCCCAGTCACAGCGACGGCATCCCTGCGAGTGTTAACTACAGCCCCAATGCGCGTCTCGTCCTCCCACATCCACGGGGTGCCAGCAGCGCCAAACTCGTTGTATCCTCAGATCTGGTAGCAAACACCTCCGTGGCAGTCATCGTTTATGAATGCAGTCCGTTGTCTCCCCTCCCCTACACGAAAACCGCGGGTTCAGGATTCCCTGCTGGAGTTTTACAGGCGTCCGAGGGGAAGCGGAGGAAAAAGGGACTGCGGATCAAAAGCCGCTGAGTTCTGCGACCGTGGGAATAAAATAGCAGTCCGACGATAATCTACGCAAATCCCCTAAAGCTCAAGCTCATGCTGACACCACGACGGTTTTATCGGCTACTCGAGGATCATCCACGACCACGGCTTTAGCGCAAAGTATCAAAGAGTAAGAGGAGAAGTGTAGTTTCCGTGAAGAGATGTGGTCGCACTTAGCATTTCTGCAGGTGGGTCATTTAATCGTTTTACCGCCGAGCACAAATGAAGTGAAGTGGCCGTCAGTGAAACGCGGGCTACTGCCAGAGAAACCTGGAGGTAACTGGACTAGGAAGGGGGGGAAAGGTCAGGGTGGCAATCGGCCAAATGTCACAACCCTCCGCGCTCCATCTATTGTTAAACACAGCGCACACAGAGAGCCTGGCTTCCAATCGATGACAGCGCGTTCAGCTGGAGCGCGTTTTTATTGAAGTCCGGGGAGAGGAGGGGCGATCAGCTGTCATCCTCGTACTCGGGTGGGTTTAAAGCCCAGCGACGAGTAAATATTACGAGATGCAGATAAAAAACTGCTCCATGGCGGCGTAACAAAGGTGGGTTACTCAAAAGCGACTGTGCAATAATTTGAGGTCCGGGGAAGAGATGCCCATGTGCTCTGGTTTCTCCGTTGTCTTCACGGCAGGTGGATTTTTTTTTTTTTTTTCCTCATTCTCCCAAAGTAGGCTAGCAGCACTGTCCGACTGCACAATTAACACAAGAAAGACCACAAGCAAGCGAGCACCTCACCAGGATTAAACAAATAAGCACAATACGTGGCACTGCTGGGATGCACTACCTTGTGTTGTTTTTTCTCTCATGAGCTTTTTTTCCCCATTAAAACGCCGCAACAGCATCATCAGACCTGCGTGTCAACGAGCACTGGGAGTAAAAAAAAATAAAAATAAAAACCAGCTGAGGTCCAGGAAGGGTGTCGCGGAGAGCCCAGCAACAAGCTGAGGAAGAACCGGGAGAGAACATGGTTTTGTTTTGCTACAATGAAGGAGGGTATCTCCAGTCCCTGCACAGCTCAGTACGCCCATCAATTGAGCATCTTACGGTGCAGAGCAACCTAACGCGAGAGGACGAGGAATGACGAGTCCGTCGTCCAATTACAAATACGCCATGGGCTCAGAGGAGGCGGGTCTACTTGTTTGCCTTCGCCGTTGCTTGGCACTCACACGATCCAGCATCCAATAGCTGCACGCACGTCCTGAAACTTGTTCACCGTTCCTGTTTTACCATATCCCCCCCGAATTCAAGGACCCATGTTAATTAGATGAGCAATGATTAGTCGCTTTTCAGGAAATGAAGAAATAACTCGACAAATGAAACCGCTCAAATGGCCTTTGGAAGATTAATTAAACCTCTGTACACCGAAAAAGGGAAGAAAATCACATTTTATTCTAATTTTGGTGTTGGGTTTGTTAATTCCTTCAAAAATGTATTTCTAAATCAATTAGTTTCAGTAACACTCATTGCACATTTTTTCGGATTACAGCACATTTTAGTTCCTCGACTGGAGATAAATTGCATTTGTTTGCCAAACTAAATTGAAACAACGTCCCAGTTGTTTCAAAGAAAAATGATTTAAAACATTAATCGTAAGCCCAATATTTGAAGCGGAAGTGAGAAAATTACTAAATACTTCAGTCATGTCATTACGAGGCTGGAAACCTTGTGAGCCATCTTTACAAATTATCTAGACAGCCTTTGTGTGTGAGCTGTGTGGCGACACCCTGTAGACCAGTCAGGACGCACGCTTGACTGCCCCCAAGTGGTCAGCAATAAAAAGAAACTATAATGAACGTAACACTAATTTAAGAAATAAAAATAAAAGAAACGATTGCATATGTGTGAAAAAGTTTCATGACTTGTTGTTGCTGTGAGGGGCTGCTAGTTATTTATATCTTATGAGTCCATAGTGCATACTTTTGTGTGTTGTATTTAATAGTTTAGTTACAGATGTTCTTAATAAAAGTGCTCAGAGGTTCTTTTATTACAGCAGGCCCTGCCCAATGAATTCAAATTTCAAGTTTTAATCATTGTGGTAGAATTTGTCAGCATAACCTGCTCCAGGGAGGCTTTGGTGTACATTTATTAGGCTGTCTGGAGTTGACTGCCCTTAAAAACTGTTGTGTTTGCATTGTAATGCATATTGTGATTTCCCTAAATCTTCCCTCTGACAAATACCCTCCATATAGTAACATTTAAAAAGACTCAAACTAAACCTGAAACTAATAAAAACTTAACTAAATCTAAACAGTTACACACAAAGACACTCTGGAGAAACCTAAAGTGAACTAAAAACAAAATGCTGAAATGAAATAAAAGGGTAAGTAAAGAAAAATACAAAGTTTTATAAATGTTTTCACAATAAACTAATTGGAGACAGGAAGATTTTTGCAGTTAAGCTAAAAATAGTTCAAAACAAAAACCATTACGTGTACTTAAAAAGTCAGTATGAAAGGAAAATGTGCACAAAAAGAAGAAGAATTCTATAGCAGTCAAAACGAATTTTACACCGTGGGGCACATACAGCCCACACTGTTCTTAAGTGGGACAAATGAGTACATTTCCCCTTTATGTCAGCATAAAGATGTTTAACTACACATTACGTCCCTTAAGTGTTTTAAAATAAGACACAGTTTTTCTGGATAATAAGTGTGTAAAATTACAGAAAAGTTCTGGTAGCTCGACGCCCAGACTCTCTGTATTTATAAAATATTTATGTTAATTCTCACAAAATGTTTTTTTTTAAACCAAACTTTCTGTAGGTGGTGAAAAACAGGAACGTGTTTGTCATTTAATTGTTTATCTGTTACTTAATTCCTTTGGTGTAGCCTGAATGGCCATTGGATCTTTATCAGCAGGAAATGAAACGTTAAACGTCCAAATATTTATGTCCTCCTTCACATTTTTCAGCTTTCCAGTGGATCGGAGTCTTTGCTGGGCCGATTCTAGACGCTGGCCTTACCTTTGACACCCCCGCTCTATAGTTTTGGTCTTTGTCAGTTTCAGAGATGGACGTTACTGTAATCCGATTACTTTTTTCAAGTAACGAGTAACGTAAGGGATTACTATTGCAAAAACGGTAATTAGATTACCGTTACTCTCCCGTAGGAACGCTGCGTTACTGCGTTACTAAAACCGTGATTTTTTTG